ATTAAATAAACAAATATTTATACAAAATAATAATAATAATAATAATCATTCAACTGATAAAGCAATTTTCATGAAAGCCATTTTAAAAGGTACTTTCAAAATTTTTTAATAGACCAGGTAAGTACAATAATGGGAGGGAAAGAGCTAGATCACTAATCACTAAAAGAGCCCCCTTCCCACTTTCAAATATTTTGTTTGGCTTTTCGGGAAAAATATTCTAAATATTATGTACTATACTATGATTAATATAAATTCATTATCATTGATTTATATTCCAAAGTTACCTTTTTTTTTTTTTAGTATTGAATTTTTATTTTTTTTTTTGAGAATTTTATTCACGTGTTAACTAAAAGCTTTATGCTTTCAATATCTATAGATGGAAGGAAAATCCTTGTATATGTTTCATTTGGCAGTAATTAATATGGACTTTTTTTCATAAACCTTATAAAATGCAGCTAAAAAATTAAAATTATGGTTTTTCATTATCTAATAAATCTTCAAACGCTACACAAAAAAATTTAATACTAACATGAGTGATATTTAACAATTAACGCATGTCGGGGACCACTCAGACAATAGGATCTAGAGATGATAGTTTATAAAAATAAAACAGTCAAAAGCCGTATGGGAATAAAAATTCTGATTGTCTAATGGATATCTAGGAGTACTTCATCCTATCGCAGTTAGTGGTTAATAAACCGCACTACATGGAGAAGTTTGATAAACACAGTGATAAACTTCCATTGTGATATATAAGCTTGCTTGATTTGAGAGCTATCGTACGAGTAATATTAAAATATACAATGCGTATTTAAAGTGAGAATGGTTAACCATTGGAAATTATATATTATATTTGTATAATAAGTGTCAATAAAAAAAATAAATAAATAATAATAATAATTAATAAATAAATATATTACAAAAACCAGTAATAATTGTTTGCTGAAATAAAAGAGCAATAAATAGTTTGAATACCATAAATTCCTCCATTTGTGGTTATTAATTCATAAGTATTTTACATAAATCTCTTAAATATATTTCAACAAACATCAATGTTAATTCGAATTTATTAACAATAAGTGTGATTTAATTAACTGTAATCAAAACTGAAAACTTCTCCAATTATTAGAGACAATAGATCAAAGATAAAATCATAGTATAATCAAAAATTTTATTCCTCAGCTATCTGAAATTTAAAAATATAACGCAAAGAAAAATAAAAATTTTTATTTAGAAAAAAGATAACAATTAAAAAGTAAATATTTATTATATTTAATATTGAATATTACTTAAATGTTTTACGCAGGTTTCTTGATGTCAGGTCATATTATTTAGTTTATTAATTTTGAAAATACATTAGTTTAGTTAACATATTTCATTAATTTTTACTTATAAAAATTTAATTATAATTATATCTTACATTTTTTAAATTAAACTCTTGTTGAGTTGAAATAATCATACTTTAACAAACTGTTGTTCCTTTAAGTTTAACAAATGTATTATTATTTAGATAAAATATAGGGCCATATTCATAGTCAGTTCTTATGAATAAGTATTGTTCAAGCAATACTTATGACTTAAAACAATTTCATAAACGATACTTAATACTTAATCAAAGAAAAAGTACTACTTATATATACCATTTTTAAAAGTTTAGTACCAACCATGCTTAAGAATTACTTTTAATGATTAGGTACCTATCAAATAATCATATAATTTATACTTATTTTATTTCAATTCGTAAATTGGAAACACTTATTAAAATATACAAATTAAACAATAATATGGATGAGTTTTTAAATTTAATTGACTTTTATGACTGAGTTGATATAAATGAAAGTGTTCCTAAAAAATATGTGAGAGATATGCAAAATCCCATTGATTATTACAACGACAAAGAATTTTTAAACAGATTCAGGTTTGTAGCATAATATTTTATAAAAATAAAATTAATAATTAATCAATTTAATGCATATACAAATATTAAACCATTCACCATTGTTATGCATAATAATAATACGAATATATACATTAATGAAGTCACTAGGTTTACCAAAACTTCAGTTATACAATGTTTAATGCCTCTTATATTTGATGGGATTAACGCTAAAAATACAATGAAGGGTTTGCCAGTTCCACCACTTATTAAACTTTTTGCAGTATTGCGTTTTTATGGAACAGGTAATGTTTAAGTAAGATTATCAATTTTTATAACATTTAAATCAGAAAAAATAATAATATTAGGTAGGTTAAATTATTTTTTTTTTAATATCTTATTTCAGTTAGTTTCTGGTGATTTACTTGGAATAAACCAACCAATAATAAGTAGGATTGTTAAACAAATCGCTAAACTAATTGTTAGAAGTTTAACAAAATTTATAAAATTTCCATCAACCATAAGAGAACAAAGACAAAATCAATTGATGTTTTATGATATTGCTAGTAATTTTTATAAAAATCCTATACATAATTATACACCTATGTATAATTATATTTTGTTAAAATTAAATTAATGATTTAAATATAGAATTTGTTGATGTTGATGGAACCATAGATTGTACTCATATACCAATACAAAGTCCAGGAGACCAAGCAGAAAATTTTAGAAATAGGAAAGGTGTATTTTCAATTAATGTTCAAATTATTAGTGGTCCTAGGTGTGAGATACTAGATATTGTTGCAAGGTGCCAGATTCTGTTCACGACAGTCGTATTTTTAGATAAAAGATTAATTCATACTTTTCATTTATGAACTACTTTTAATTTATAATACTTACCCTAGATTTTAATAATAGCAATATCAATATGAGGTACGAACAAAAGCAATTACCAGAATCCCTTTTAGGTGATGGTGGTTATCCTCAATTGCAATATTTATTTACTCCAGTCCGTAACCCACAGACTAGAGCAGAAATAAAATATAACAAGGCACATACTGTAACAAGAAATACAGTAGAAAGATTGAATGGAATACTAAAATGAAGGTTTAGCTGTTTATCAAAAAAGTTAGCAACAAAACTCAACACAACATTATTAATTATATCAGCCTATGCAGTTCTTCATAATATTGCCATATTTAGATATGAAGATCTTCCACATAATTTTGAGGAAGATTTAATGTTTCATCAAATAGTTGAACATGAATACAATGGTCCACCTAATTTATATGGTAATATAATTAGATGTGAGTTTATAAATAGACATTTTCATTAAAATATTATTTTATTGTTTACATGCTGTAATATTACTTGATAAAGAACATACAAAATACAATGTTTTAACTAATTAATCAAGGAACTTTTTATTGATAGGTAATAGTTTTATAAAATATTTTCAAATAATCTCAATATAAAATGTTTTAAATAAATAATTATTTATTGTCAAACTATAGACAATTTAAAAGTAAAATAACAATATAAACAAAGCAAAAAAAAATTAAATAGTACAATCTCTTTGGACATATCTTTTCTTTTTTATCGTTTTTTGTTTCACTAGGTCATAACTATTAACAAATAAAATAGTATAATAGGTATAATTACAAAAATATATATTTTTTTTAATATTATAAATTCCCTTAATATTATTAATAATATTAAATTAACAAAATTTACCTTTTTCTCATACTAATAATTAAAACAAAATTAAATAGTTATAAATAGTATTTAAATAAAATAAGTTATAATTATTAAAAACAATATTTTATTTATAGGCATTTTTCGTTGAGGTTTATTGTTTCTACTCTTAATTCATTTTTATGTTTTTCTTGCTGAAAAATCAAATTATTTTTGGCGGTAATAGGTTCAATTTTTTTTTTTTTCAAAAGTTCCCTTTCACTTTCAATTTTCAGAATTATCTTTTGTTTAAGTTATTCATGTATTTCATTATCGTTAATTTTTTGATTTTCAATTTGTTCTATTCTAGGTGATATCTCAGAAGTAAAATTTATCTTATTACTTTTATGTTGTTGTTTTAACTTTCTAGGTTTATTTATACTACTAAACACATTAGCCTTTTTAGCAATCTGGGTATCAATCAATTCATTTGGAACAATATTCAAATTAACTTTACCATAATTTTCATTTGAATCTAATTAAAATAATTACATCAAAGTATTACAATATGTTTATATTAACAAGTTAAATTATAGGGTCTATCAGCCAATATGGAACATGATTTATTTTATTTTTAAGAATGATTATTTTCATTTTAATACATCAAAATAATTTTAAAAACATTGTATGAGCCACGGCCTATTTTTGTATTTTAGCATACACATTGAATAGTAGTAAACTACAAATATGTAGTAATAAATTTAGGGATGATACTGTATTGCTACAGCACGTATTAAAACTAGTTAAGTGGTATAATCATAATGTATACAATTTAATTTATAAAATCTACCATAATAGATTATATTCTATTATATAGGGTTTTAATTGACAGAGTGTTTAACTTGTTAATAAGTTTTAGATAGTTAATAAATATCTAACACCAACCAGATAAATTATCATCACTGGACTGAAGACAATCAAAATTAAATTCCAATTGTCCATCAGGTCTAACTTCACATTTAACATTTCCTGATATAATAGTATCACTATCAATGGCATCAAGTATCTCAAGAGCTATGTTTGCAAATTGGTCAATTTCTGGATTCTCTAATAATTTTGGTACTTTTGGACCACCTCCTGTTCTTAAAAGAGCTTGTTTATGGGAAGTAATTTCTAATTTACATTTAGTTTTGATATTATTCCAACATTTTTTACTTGAATTAATGTTCTCTATAAATTATAATAACATGTTAAGCATTATATGAAATTTAATTAGATGTACACATTAAGAGTATGAACAATTAGCATGTATCTTCTATAATTTAACTTTTAATGACTTAAATAATATAAAAACTCTTATCATACCTAATTAATTTAAAAATATTGTAATTTTAATTGTTATATAATACTATAAATTCATAGTATAATATAAATTAAGGTTTAAATTTACTTTTGGATGATCACCCATTGCGTTGAATTCTGATGTAATTTTTTTCCAGGCTACATTTTTGCAATGAATGCTAGTTGAATCAGTTTTCTTATTTTCAACCACACTATTTTGTTGAACTAGTTCTAAAATTAATTTTTTTTTCGATAGCGGAATATGCTATTCCTTTCCCCATCACGACAACAAATAATTAATAATATTTTTAAATCAACTATAAAAAAAATGTATAACTTAAATAATATTGACTAGATAAATAAAATAAAATAACAGATAAATAAATAAAAACGATATGATAAAATATAATTGTTATCTCTTATCACACAATGTAATCTGATAATATGATAGAACCATTGTAACCAAACTAATTTAAAAAGAAATACTTAATATAAGTCTGATACTTATAGCTTTTATAAGTTCTGCTTAAATATCTTTATGAATACTTTACAATAAGCATAGCTTTATTAAGTTTTATAAAAGAATTGATTTAAGAACTGACTATGTATACGGCCCATAGTATTTTTCGCATAATATATTTTTTTTAATTCAAGTGATTACCATATATTAAAGATAAAATTGAAAATTCACTTTGTGAACATAATACTAAGTATTATTATTAGATTTTATACATAATTTAAGTATTGAATAATACACAACTTATAATATAATATTGTTTAATTAACTGCTTTCGAACACAATCCATTACTAAATTCCATTATTATTATTGTTATAAAGTAAATATAAATATAAATCAATAACAGTACGCATGGTAACATTTGTAACAATAGAAACGATTGTGAAGACGGATGGACATAATGGGAATTTTTAACAAAATTTTAAAAGTATATAATAGAAACATATTTTTCATAGGGTTCACAATAATTTATCAAATTTGATTAAATCAATTTGATCTCCAGCATTTATTTTTTTAAGTTACCATTATGTTTAGTATTAATGGTTATTCACAAAGTAATAATTTTATTAGTTAAGTTATATAAATGCATATTAGTAATTTATTGGATTAATTCAACTATCAAAATGAAAATGATACTAGAACTATTATTAATTTATTTTTATTTTTATATTTAGATTTCTAACTTATTTCAAATTTACAATGTTCATATGAATCACGTGAAAAAATGATAAAATTAGCAATTTTTACAATTGTCAATATTTTATTAATTTTTTTTTTATTAACAAGTGAATTCCCTTATGAACAAAGTAATTATCTGTTTCAAATATTCTAGGTTATAAAATGAACTTAAGATTTATTGATACTCATATACCTATTGTAAACATTCTATATTTACAGCAAAAGTATTATACTTTCTGAATCTGTAATTGTGTAAATGATGAGTTTTACACAATTATTAATATTAATTTAATTTACTTCTTAGAATTTACATTTACTTCTTGGAGTGATGGATTCAATTGTTAACAATATACGGTGTACAGCAGTATGCTTTTAACATCCAAAGAAATATTTGTCTGTATACTAAAATAAATCATCAAGTGTTAAAGTTTAAAAGAAACCAAAAGTATATAATAAATTTCCGAATAAACGTAGCTGATTGGTCTGAAAAATTGTAATTTTCAACGAAATAAACTAATGTTTATGCCAACTATAAATTATAAATATATAAGCATTAATGTGTGTAAACAACATTGTATTTATATCTTATAGTAAAAAGATGGTTTATATTTATATAACATTTTGGCGCATGATCTATTTGCACCTCCATTAACCAGATGAACTACATTAACTGAGCGTAGGTTTACGTTCTCTGTAATTCTGTGAGAAATCGTGTACGCAATTTATATTATTTTACCCGCTTCGTGTAATTTAAATTTAAATATTACACTGAAAATAATAAAAATTATATGACAAGTTAGCGAAGACAAAAATATTATTTAAACATTATCTTAAAAAGCTTTGTCCGTGTTTAACGATAATGTATCAAATGAATTCAAGTACATTCATAAAACTGACCAAATACAGCTAGTGCTTCTTTTGTAAATAACGTTCGTCCAATATATAGGTTAACGTTTCTCCTATAACGATTCTGTATACCTAAGTGTACACAGAGAGGGTCATAGAGATGTTGTTGGTTGTTAAGAGGTTCAAACCGCCTGGCTTATTTTTTTTTTCTCTGTGCAGTATTCTTTATAAAGTACAAGTACAGAACTTATTTTATGAATAATTAATATAATCATTATTATCTTTAAATTAATTTTATGCTCTCAAAATAAATATATTTTCTTCGAAAAATTGTGCATTAAACCAATTAATATTCGATTGTAAATCAGTTCAAAATGTTGGTATACTACCTTCTTTAGTAATGAGTTATAACAATTATAAACATAAAAAAAAAAAATATTAAACTATAAGTTAAATACTAATAAAACCAATGAATATTGAATGCTTAAAGTTAATGCAAAAGACTGTAAATATCAAATAATATTTTTATTTATTTTTTTTTTTTTTTTATTTGTAATCAAAAAGATTACTGAACCGCACTGAGAAGTTTATTATTGTTCTTGGTGTAGTTTATTGTTAAGTGTATTAAATAAAATAAAACTATTCATAGTTATATAAATAATTCTTATCAAAATAATTTATACATATTATTATAATTTTTTTAAAATATTCTGTGAGTTCCCTCCTATAATGTAAAAATATTTCGCTGAAAACCAAATATTGGTAAATATATCATCTCTGAGAGCTTGAAATGTATCAATCCGCATTAGGGTTGTAACTATTGGGGCGATTTGCTAAACCATTGCTATTCGTTTTACAACTATCCATTGTAAATATCTTTTTTTTTAATGTACAATTATTTTTTCATTTTGTATAAACTTATCGAACATTATTAGATACCCAAATTCTTTACGTTACATATTACAAATATTTTTAGTACCTATTAATTATAAATTAATTATTTCATACAATTAAATAAGAAATATTGAATTATTAGATATTATGTATTAATAAATTGTGTTATATATTTATCATTTTTTTTCCACTGTTTAGTTTTTAATTAAACATCGTCGTTTTTATAATATCAGTATAATATTATGAACGAGATTATTAAATATTACAGATTAAAAATAATGAAGATCTGTTAAAATCAATTTAATTGTTATCCTGTACTAAGCATATTTTATTATTTTGGGTGTATTATTGTTTGAAATTACTCAAAATCCTATTCTATGAATAAAAATAAATTTATTTATAACGATAATATATGTATACCAATTTAATTAAAAAGAATTTTTTTGATCACAATAATCACCTTTTTAGATTTTATTTGAAATTTTTTAATTAAAATCTTCAGAAATTTTAAAATTGAACTTTTAATAGGTACAGATAAATATTTAAAATTTTTAGAAGTTCAATATGTATTTATACATAAAGGCGATTCTTAAAACTGTTAAAAAAAGTTTTTTTAACTATTTCTTAAGGTGTTTTCTGAAAGAAAATAAAACTAATAAACAGATATTAATGCGAAACCTTGCTCAGAATCCAAAAAGGATCAAAGATAAGTTACCACCTTAAGAACACATTTATTGTATTTGAGAAAGCACTATTAGTCTTCATCATCATCACAACAATTTGTCTTATACTATATTATATACATTAAAGAATAATGTAATTATGACAGTAAGATATTATCTATTCTAAGTAAATGTAATTAATAAATAAGTAACTATTTATTAATAAATTATTTGTAATTTACGAAACTGAAAGCTTTCATTCGATGTAAATTATACGGAAATATTAACAATTTGATAGGAAATTCAATTATTTTTATTATATTACCTAATGCAAAAAAGAACATAGCACATTATAAAATAATTATTACTCAAAATTTAAAATAAAACACTTACTACATTAGTGATAAATACTAATTAATACTAATTCTAAGAACTTTACAATTTTATTTATAAATATCCGAGATTTTATATATTTTAAAAATAGATCTACTTTACATATATCTATTTTTATCAGTTTTTACCTTAGATTATCAACGTACCGAATAAACAATTATTAATCTGAACCACTGAAAACAAATTATATAATCATAAGTAGGCTTAGGGACTTCTAGCATTTGCATACTTTTTTAATTATTGTTAAATATAGCAGAGTGCGAAAAAAAAGTCGTTTCTCGATGCTATGATATCAGATCTAAAATTTGAATGTGCATATTTTTGCATACTAGATAGATTTTGCAGTAAAGTGCATATTTTGAAATTTTTATGTTTATTTAGCATATTTTGACAATTTTTTTAAATTTATAATTAAAAACTATAGATACATATAACTATATATACATATTTCAAACAATCGAAAAAAAAATGTACTTAATAATTTGTACTTAAAACTTCCAGTAATATGCTATCTGCAAACTACCTCACATATCTCGTTATAATTTTTGTGTAAGTATAAATAATACTATAAACCCGTATCCATCGTATCTGGATACCGACCGGATGTCGATAAAGATAATAGTTGATATAGAATAATAGATTATTTATTTAGTGTTCAGTCCAGTCGATTATTATCCATCGTTATTTTTGCGTCTCGCAACCACGCAACGTCGAATCATACATAAAATGTACGTATACTAAAATAAATCATCAAGTGTTAAAGTTTAAAAGAAACCAAAAGTATACAATAAATACTCTGCATATCCGGTTTTTACGGTACTGTTAACTACACAAGAACTCAAGTCCAAGTAATTTTCGCACATTTAAATTGCAGTAATGTAACCAGGCACGATACCTAAACCAACGACTAGTTTTAGACTGATTGGATAATTTGTTTGGAATAACATACAGGCGTTTTTATTCTCCTTCTACACAACGCGTGCAAATTATACGGTTTGTCGTCGGTAAATGGGAACTCATGGTCATAGTTCGGTAATACAATTTGTTTTGCATGGTTCACGCGAATTAAATTGTTAAGCCGAAACCGGACTGCATCTTTTTTGAAGTATGCATCAAGTAAAGTAAAGTAACACGCACCATTGACAAACATGACGACATTATCGGTACTGCAAGACGTTTAATACCTGTATTATTTATGTACACATGAAATGTCGGACAGATTTAAATGTAATGGAAATGATGCTCAGATAATAAATACAAATCTAACACCTTGTGGGTAAAATATAAGACCAGAACTTTTCATAGAAGGTTAATCATGCGTTATTCTAACAAAGTCACGATGATCAGATAAGCTAGGAGTTTGTTTTAT